CACGATGATTTACAGTGGCCGAAGCCTGATCCTTCAGCGGCCCAGGACTCTGTCAACGGCGCTGTCACTGGCGCAGTTTCGACACAAGAAATTGCTGTCGGGGCACAGTTTTGGTCAGAAACAAAAACACAACCAGTCCTTGTTTGGGGTCGCTGGTCAAAGTAATGGGACCGCAAACACAGGACTTGCATGTACTGTTTTTCTTTCCGGCTTTGCTGATGCTTGCGACTCTCTCCAAAACAACCCAGAAGAGAACTCACTGTATACTGCATCATGCACGTGGCCCATGCATCTGCGTTCTCGCAAAGCCAACATGCCAAAGATTTCAGTCCAAAACAGCTTGATGAAGTTAAGGATCACTTCAATCAGCTGGTGGCAGATTTCCGAGCAACAGCGAAACTGTCGTTGGCCTTCCTCCATGGATCAAAGGATGCTTGTTTGAAGAAGGGAGGAGCATAGGGCGAACAAGCCAAGAACTGCTTAAGGTTGATCAGCGCTGCACACGAGGGGCGTGTTCCCGACTTCAAACACTTCAAAGCCGCGCTGAGTTGTTGAGCGAAAAGGTTTTGCACCTTGGTCTTTGCAGCTAAACGAATACTTCCGGGCACCTCATCATAAAGGTGAGGTACGGAGCTGGAAAGCTTTTCCCACCACCCGCAGTTTCGACACAAGCAATTGCTGTCGGGGCGTGCACAGTTTTAGTCAGAAACAAAAACACAACCAGTCCTTGTTTGGGGTCGCTGGTCAAAGTAATGGGACCGCAAACACAGGACTTGCATGTACCGTTTTTCTTTCCGGCTTTGCTGATGCTTGCGACTCTCTCCAAAACAACCCAGAAGAGAACTCACTGTATACTGCATCATGCACGTGGCCCATGCATCTGCGTTCTCGCAAAGCCAACATGCCAAAGATTTCAGTCCAAAACAGCTTGATGAAGTTAAGGATCACTTCAATCAGCTGGTGGCAGATTTCCGAGCAACAGCGAAACTGTCGTTGGCCTTCCTCCATGGATCAAACGATCTATGTTTGAAGAAGGGAGGAGCATAGGGCGAACAAGTCAAGAACTGCTTAAGGTTGATCAGCGCTGCACACGAGGGGCGTGTTCCCGATTTCAAATACTTCAAAGCCGCGCTGAGTTGTTGACGGAAAAGGTTTTGCACCTTGGTCTTTGCAGCTAAACGAATACTTCCGGGCACCTCATCATAAAGGTGAGGTACGGAGCTGGAAAGCTTTTCCCACCATGACCCTTCTGGTCGATGACCCAGCAAATCTAAAGCCGACACAATAACATCAAATATAAGAAAACGAACGCCTAGTATTTCGACAGCCCGATGTAACGGGAGACCTCTCAGATCACGCGTTTGGCATTCTACTGCGTGGGCGATTAGCCGCTCTGTAATATATGACACCACATCCAGTTCTTCAGCCGGCAGGAATGCCTTGGCGAACAGCTCGAAAGCTTTCGACAAAAGCGGCAGGGGTCTAACTGTTGCCGACGAGCCAACGGCTATCTCCGGCATAAACTCCCTCGTGATTCCGTTACTGTCCACAAGTGGCAAACGGCAAAATGGGTGGAAGCGTGTTTCCTTATAAGCAGTTGTAAATATATCAACACCTAAATTCGCCTTGCGTGCGAAACGCGGATGCGGTAGCCAGTGCTTTTCGCCATTGCCTGCAGCAGCACTCGTTGAAGGCTGAGCCTCATCCTCCACCTGCTTATCATGTTCTTCACCAATGGCGCCCTCGGAGCCAGTCAATTCTCCCAATTGATGCAACGCAGCAAGTGCTTGAATTTCACGAGCACTCAGCGGCACAGCTAAGCTTTTGCCACTCTTTGAACAACACACTGAACCTGCACCTGTTAGTTTAGTTACAGAGGAAGCTTTTGCCCATAATGTGCGCAGCCCAGCAGCCGCTTGAAGTTCATACCCACTCTCCCGCCCAGCTTCACTCTTAGAAGCACTGGGGCGACGCCGTGGGCGACGCCGTGCAGTTGCGCCAGTCGGTCCAATGGCCCCCTTCGATGAGGCCCGTGCCGCTTGTTGCGCGCCTGTGTCAACACTAGGTAGCTCCCTGCTATCATCAGACTCCGCCTCAATACGTGCACGCTTAGCAAGTGGCTCAAGCATGGGAGGCATCTCCGTCGTATTGTCATCAGATGAAATATCTGCATCTTCTCCCGAATCGCTGCACCATGGGCGTTTGACAACCGCACTGGAGTCTTCATCCTCCGACAGCTGCCGACCATAGGCAGGCAGTTGATTCCATTTCTTCTGCCCTCGCGTACACAAGAA